CATTCGTGCCGAACCTGGTCGTGGTGCAAGGCGTGGCTGATGCAGTGTTGGAGTCCAGTCACCTCGGAACGCTGCCTTAGGCTTGTCGCGAGCTTCGTCCTTGACATCGCCTTGGGTCGCCGGCGGCATCGGGGTCGATGGTCCAGCAAAAACCTTCTTCCTCTCTGTCACGGACGGACCGGGAGGAGCTGCCGTCTTAGGATCGTCTGTCTTGGCAGTCCCTCTGGCCTTCGCCCGCTCATGTGTGCCTTCGGGGCTCTTGGACGGTTGCCTTTTCGCAGGAGTCGGTGAAGACGAGGAGTCGGCTTTAGGTCTTGGCGGTGGTCTGCTGCCCTTGCCTGGTCGTGGACCAGGAGGGTCTCTAGGAGGGCCTTCTGGCTGGCCATGATCATGGATGACCTGCCTCATCTGGTCGATGTCGGCAGTACCCTTTATGGCCAGCTTGTACTTGCCATTCTCATGGCGGTAGAGTACCCTCGTGCAGAACCACTTCTGCGCCGAAGAGCTGTAGTACCAGCAGGCGCTTCCGTCAGGGAATGGATTCTCTGAACCGTCTTCCGCCGCCCACTCTTCATTTAGCTCAGTGCGGTCAGTGCCGGCGGCGGACCCGGCAGCAGAGGCAACGTCTATCCACTCGTCCGCAGATCCAGCGGCTGGTGCTGCTTCTGCGGGTGACCCCGCTTCCTTGCTGGATTCTGCGGGTGACCCCGCATCCTTATGGAATCGGCGGTTCCATTCCTTGAGGCGGTGGTCATTGGGAAGCTTTGCCCAATTTTCCTTGACGGTGTTGGCCACCTCTTCGGTCATAGGGACGCGATCGGCCTCTGTGATGCGCTTTCCTCCTCCAGGAACCTCTTTGTTCGGATCATGGACGTTGCCCGCGTCGTCTCCATGAGACCAATTCCACGGGGTTTCTCCATGGTGAGGGCTCCTGGAGGGGCGGTCCATCGGACACCTGCGCATGTGGCCTTTGAAGGGCTCACACTGACATACTTGCTTTCTGTACGTTTTGCGGTCAGTGATGATCTCCTGCTTCTTCGCCCTTTTGTCCCAGGCCTCTGGTGTCTTGGTCTTGCCGCCCTTGGTACGGATTATCGCGCCAGTCTCGTCCCTTTTGGTACAGTATTCCTTAGAATACCAGTGCCGAAGAGTATCCATAGAGTAGCCGGGGTACCATCTGATGTACCAATCCGGCACCTGCTGAGCAGATACTCCAACGGAGTGCTCAGTGCTGTATGGATAGCCCGATTCATCATGCGTAGGGCGTCTAGGAGCTGAGCGGCTCCTTCCGCGGGCTGGCCCCGCTGACGCACTACCACGTGTCACTGGCCTTTGATCGTCATGCTCTGAGTCTCGGGGAGGCGACGGTCGCCTGTCCCTCTTGGCGTACCGCATGTCCTCCGAGTCCTCTGAGCTGTCCTGGACCATGAACACGTTTTGATACGGGCTTCTGAAGTATCCGATGTCATTTAACTGCTCCATCGAGAGGTCGTTAATGTTCATTTGATCGCAACCTTGCATGAATACATCCATAGACCAAGCGGGTGGCCCCGCTGTTGTGTCTAGCATCTCTTCGGCGGGTGACCCCGCTAGAGCTTGGAGTGCTGTAAGCATCTGAGATGCTGACATGTTCGAATCCAAGTATGGACGTAGACGGGCAACTCCTGGGTGCGACAGCAGTTCGTTCATCGTCATCTGCTGCTGTGCTGGCGCACTCAAGAGTCGGATTGCTTCTGAAACCTGCTCTTGGAGCATGTCGTTATAATCTTCTTCGGATTCTTCGGAGTCGGAATACGCGGGATGGCCCCGCATTTCGTCATCGGCGTCTCCCATCTCCGAGCCAGCCCACGACGGATTTGGCAGCAACGGCATGCCAATCACTTGTGGGGCCAGCGCGGCGGTGAGTTCTTCCTCTGTTGCCGGGACAGTCTCGGCTTCGGAGACCTCGTCACCGGCGGGTGGCCCCGCTGGAAGACCGAACCAAGCATTGTACGCAATCTCATCGACCTCGTCCCAGCCGTGGAACTCGTCGAAGAGGGTCACTGCGTAGTCTTCCAGGGCCACAGTTGCTTCAGCATAGCGGGCCATCACGTAATACGTGGAGGAGCCCGCAGCGGGAGCCGCTTCTGGATTGACGTAAAACTCGTAGTCAATGTAATCTATGTCATCCATAAAAGAATTTTGAGCCAAGTGTACGGATCCCTTTCCTTTCCCCTTCGGGCATTGATCGCGCAAATGCTCTGTGCTACCGCATGTATGACACTTCATGGTATTACCAGAAGCGTCCCTAGGGTTGCCCCTCCGCCCCTTTCCCTTACCGGAGGTCCGCCTGTGACCCCGACCTTTGCCTCCGATAAGAACTTCTTCAAAAGCCATATCAGTTAAGGACGTGAGGAAAGCAGTAATACCCCTACCATGCATACGGCGTCTGCGACCCCCTTTACCACGACCCTTTCCAAATTGTTTGAAATGTCGGCGTACTGCACGTCTCACCTTTCTGACTGGTTTCTTCATAAAGCGCCTCCAACGGCGTTTTGATTTGCGATAAGCCATAAAGGCGGCTTCCGCCCTTTGCTGTTCAGAAAGGTGAGTGTCGTCCGCTGGATAGTCATTACCAGCAGAGACTATTCCATTGTGCTCATCGTCAGATGAAGTATCTGTGTCAGTGCCAGATTCAAACGGTGAGGGTGGCTGAGACCATTGAGCGGATGACTCCGCTTGGCCCCAGAGGGTTGTGCCCGAGGGCGGGCTTGCAGTGTAGGCGGCGCCTGGCGAGTAGTTCGACCAGGCGTTCGCCTCAGCTGCCTCTGCCGATGCCTGGCCGGTCTGCCCTAGAAGGGCAGTGGCCTCGTTGGGCATATCGGCTGGGTCAGCCCAGGGATTTGGCTCGCCAGGACCAGCGGGTGACCCCGCAGTCGTGGCGTAGACACCTGCATGTGAGTGGTGCCCTGTGAAGATACCCGCTATGTTGCCAGGAGAGCGCTCGGCAACATGTCCGTAGTTCCTCATCCTGGTCAGCAGCCTGTCATAGTCTGCTTGTGTTCGGGGCATCTGATGATTAAAGGGCTCAAGCAGGTGTTGGGCTCGTGACGCGCCAACGCCTAACGCTCTGAAGAGAATCAGCGTTAGGATCTGAAAGTTGGGGATGACAAAGCCAACAGAGTTAGCCTCGTCACGGGCCATCTCGAATCGAGCTAATACTGAGTCGATTCGCTCGCCCCTTTCGACGCGGAAGTCGATAAGGGCCGTGCCAGAGTTGAGCTGGCGCTCATCTTCCAGATTTTCAAATTTGGTGCTCAGTAAGTACAGTATGTAGGTTACTGCATCCGTTGGCTGTCCATTGACAGTTACACCATAATTGATGATCTGGGAGGGGACCTGCATGGCGATACGACGAGCCAGACCCTGAAGGCCTCGTTGTAGTGCTGCAGCTTGTTGTGGTGGTGTCATATTGCCGCTCGTTACGTTTAACCATGCATGTACTTCGCGAACGTATTCGCGGAAAGGCGTAGTACCGGCAGGGTCCCATGAAGGGCCAGTAGTACGCGTGTCGTCCATCCCCTGCCGCATGTATCCCACAGCACATCCCATTATCACCCATAGAATGCCGAAGATAGTTATCTTGATCCAATGCATATGCATTTCGGCTTCGGTGATTGGTTTAGGCTGTGGTTTGTCAGGCTCTGGCGTGGTAGCCGTGAGGCGCCTGACCGGCACGGGATGCAGGTGGCCCCGCTGCGGGTAGCCCCGCAGGGTGACCACGTTCTCGATCGAGTTGCCGATTGGCATCTGGTGGAAGTCAGGAGTGAAGTAGCGCAGTGAAGTAGGAGAAAGCGTCTCGAGTTCGCGGGTGACCCCGCTAGCTCGATCGCGGACTGGCTCCGCTCCTCGCAGAGCCGGCGCAACATGGTATTCCACCGTGGTAGTAGTCCACCAAGTTGTGCCGTGGATTACTGGAATCAGAGCGAGAGCCAGCCACACGAGAGTGTAGCCAGCTCCGCTACCAAGTCGAAAACAAGCTGGTAAGCTTAGGTATGTGTTACGCCTTAGGCGTTGCCATATCCCAGGCTTTGGCTCATATCGCATGAGCAAGAGAGCGAGACGAAGCATGGGATCTGGAGTATAGAGTAGGATGGGCATCGTCAATGGAAAGGATGTTTTCCGATCTCAGATGCAAGTAGTGCGCCTCGGTGAGGCACAGTCACATATCAGGCCGGGCCCGGCTTGAGCCAGGCACGGCAGCGGTACATGCTCGGTTTATACCTCGCCTTTAACCTTCTCCGTTTAAAGTGTCTGACCTTGTCTGGGTGGGCCCAAGATGGCTCCATGACAGCCCAGGGAGCGACCAAAAGCGCCTTCAGAACGCCCCAAGAGGGCCCCAATAGGCGATTGTTGGGACTGCAGGGGGCGGGGCCAACTACTGTTTTTGTTGAGCCATGGAGCCCAAGATAAGCCCCAAAAGGCTATCCCCAAAAGAACTCCAAGATAGACCCCAAACCGTCCGAAACAGCCCCAATAGGGCCCCAAGCGGGCACCGAGGCAGTCCCAAGAAGACCCCAAGATGGCCCGAAGAAGTCCTCAGATAACCCTTAGTCCTCCGAGACGCTCTCAAAACCAACAGTTGGTGAAAACCTTCTCCTCGTCCTCCTTCTCCATCTCTCCCTTGCCCTCCTCATCCTCCGCGCCCTATTCCTCTCCCCCTCCTACTTGTTTCTCCTCCTCCTTCTCCTCCTCTTCCTCTTCCTCCTCCCGGTTCTCTTCCTCCTCCAACTCCTCCTTGTTTCACCTCCTCATGCTCCTGCCCCCCGTCAACCTCATCACTCAAACAACTGTCCTGGGCATCGTTTCGGGATGGGCTTGTGGGGATACGCGAGGCGTCAAGAATATGCATTACAGAAACAAGCCATATGGCCAAAGACATAATGTCAAGCAGCAAGGCTACAACTTAGCTTGATGTTCCCTACTGCACCTGCGTGATTCCCGAGTTGGCCCGGCCACGCCTGCTGGAAGTCCACGGCGGCCTTGCGGAGGCTCTCGATCCACTCGCCAGGCTTCCTCGGAGCGATGGTATTGACGATCCACTTTGGGATCAGGCCTTTGATGTCCGAGCAACTCATGAGGAAGATTTTGAGCACCGGCGTCTCACCGTCCCACTCCTGCCGCAAGACGTACCCGGATATGTAGGACTCCGCGCGGATCGCGGAGCTCTCTTCTGGGCAGTCGGGGTGCTCCGCTGAGCGGAGCATGATGAGAATTGAGCCGTCTTTCTCAAGCCGAATCCGGCGGTACTGCAAGAAGTCGCGAGGCGTGCTGACTGGAGGCTTCAGCAGGGAGTATAGGATGTCGGAGCCCTGGCAGCCAGAGCCGATGATGGCCTGCTTGGCGAAGACCTTGTCCCATTTCATACGCTCCTCCGCAACATAAAAGAGGTGGAACGCCACGTGCGCGTGTACTCCAGGCACGGTTGCCCATGCCCGCAGCGTGATCACGCCCGGCCCGCTCTGGGTCTTGGCAACCTTGAGCTCCTTGCGGTCGATGGGCACGTCCCAGCCCTTGCAGGACTCCGCCTCCTTCTGCAGCAGCAGCTCGAACTCGCTCAGCGAGATCGGCATCCGGTGCTTCACGTCGACGAGGGGAGGTCGAACAGAGCACGCGGGAGCTTGAGCTCTGGACGTCCTCGGGCGGTCCCTCCGCCGGCGCCGGAAGTCCCTGCCCGCGCACACACACACACACACACACACACACGCACGCACACGCACACGCACACGCACACGCACACGCACACGCACACGCACACGCACACGCACACGCACACGCACACACACACACACACACCTCTCCCTGGGGCGCGCGCGCCGCCCAGGGGTGTGCGGAGCGCGCTGGTGTCAGGAGCCGGCGGCGAAGGGGCCGCCCGTGGGCGTCCGGGGCTCAGGCCCTTGCGCCCCTTTCCAGGCCTCCCGGGCTGTCGAACTCCATGAAGTCGTCCCAATTCTTGAAGAAGGGCCGGCGGAGGCGCCGGCCGCCGCTGCTCGCCGAGCCCTGCCTGCGCCTCCCCGGCTCAGCTGCGCCCTGCGCCAGCATACACCTCGGGCACGCCTCCGTCGTCGTTGTCGTGGCCGTCGTCGAGGTCGTCGTCGCAGGAGGAGGAGGAGGAGGAGGAGGGCGACCCATGGCAATTGCCGACGTCGTCGGCATCGTCGTCGAGGTCGTCGTCTGCGCCGCCGTCGTGATCGTCTGTCAAAATCGTCGCCGCCGTCGTCGTCAACGCGGCCATCGTCGCTGCAGGAAGGGGGCAATGAGCTCAGTGGAGACAACAACTGAGGGCACACGTGTTCAAATTAACTAACATGTCTTCGTGAATTCATTATTCCGCGCTCCTTCAAAACAGTTCGCCTCTTGGGACAATTCTGCCTTCAGATCGGTTGCCTTCATCGGCAATGCAGGACCGTGCCGCGCCCCGGCTCTCTGCGAACCTGGGACGGATCCGGCCCGACCTGGCATGAGTGAAAAAAAGTCCTGCAGGAGAACGGGTCCTGGACCCCAGGGCCATACCCCGACACTACTTCCTCGGCCTGAGCTGTTTCTGCCGTCGCAGGGCCTCGGGAGGGCCCCGAAATCCCGAAACGGCAAAAAAAAACGCAGGACCCGTCACCCGCAAGACCCGTCTGGCTCTAGCCGTTTCCTCAAGGCGAAGCGCGTCTTCCTTGAACAAGCCCCGAAGCCTGAATCTGGCCATCGCTAGGACGTCCATTCCCTGTGCTTCTTTCGGTTTCGTGCGCGGTTTTTTCGCAGGCTGATCCAGGATGCTCCTTCATAGTCCCCGCCGAGAAAAAGTGCAAACGTCCGACCGATACCAAGGAATCGCAGGGACCCCCATGAAACACCGTTTCCCGCAAGACCCGCTTGCTCCTCGGCGACCGACCCGACCCCGGCCGCCTCGGGGCACGCCCGCCGGTCGAGAGCGAGGCCGGCGGCCGACCTCCCCGATCTGGCCGATCGTGCCGATCGGGCCATGCAGCGCCATCGGCTTGGCTGGCCCGATTTTGACCGACCCGCCGCCGCCGATGACGACGACGACGGCGACGACCACAAAGACGACGACGACGACGACGACGACGACGACGACGACGACGGTCTGCCGATGGACTGACCAGACTCTGGGCCACTTTACGTCGCAGGCTTGCGCCCCGCGATGCGCGACGCGGGAGGATCTTCACGCCCTCGCGCCCTCGCGCCGCCCTCGCCTGGACAGGAGCAACCGCTCTGGCCCAGACCGCGACGCGCGACTCCTCCTCCTCCTCCTCCTCCTCCTCCTCCTCCTCCTCCTCCTCCTCCTCCTGCTCCTCCTCCTCCTCCTTCCCATGACGCGCTTCGCTGCCCTCGGCCACGGGTCTCAACAGGAAGACCCAGAGGCGAAGGCTCGTCCAGCTGAAGGCGCGCACAAGGGGGCCGCGCGAGGGAGGGCGCGCTTCCCACCCCCCCTTCGGATCATGAGTCAACAGCGACGGGAGGTGTTTTGCTATCTCTGGGCTCCGGGTGCCCTTGAAGGGCCGCGGGACCGTCAACAAACAACCGAGGATGAAACGCCAGTCCTGGGGAGTGGGTAGAGCCATCGATCTCGGGTCCTCGTCGTTGAAAACAACATCACGTCGGGGGTCTGGGTTCTGAGAATGCGGGGGGGGAGGCTTGTGAAAGGGCAGGGGACTCCGTGAAGCCTCCCTCCGGCTTCTACACGCCGTCTTCGAAGCCCCCCCGCATTCTCAGAAGGCCGCCCTACCTTTTCGCCAACCCTTTGTGCGCGCCGCCGAGTTTCCCTGATGGCGCATCCACCCCCGCCTTCTCAGAAGGCTGCCTTACCTTGCGCCACACCCTTGTGCGCGCCGCCGAGTTTCCCTGATGGTCCCTTTCCTTGATGGCGAAACCTGCCGATCGGGATCGGTCGATCGGCCCGATCGGCCCGCCGATTGACCGACAGGATCCGACGCCGGCCGATCGGTCAATCGCGGATCCCGCTGGGCCGATTGATCGGAGCGGAGGAGGGAGGAAGGGAGCAGGAGGTGGAGGAAGAGCACGAGGAAGAAAGTCACGGGAGGAGGCAGAGGGGGGAGGAGGACCTAAGGCCTTCGAGTACGGAGCTCGGATCGGAGGACGAGGGGCTGCAGGGGCCCGAGCTCTCTCATCTCGTCTCTCTCATCCACGTCCGAGCCCTCAAGCCCCAGCTCCGCGGTGCTCATGGCGACGATTTCTGGCGCCTCTGCGCCAGCTGGGTACATAAGATGGACGTCGCCTCATTTTCCCTCCCCTTGCCTTCCCCGACTGCTCATCCTCCTCCATCCTTCATATCTCTTCCTCGTCCTCCTCCTCCTGCTCCCGCTGTCTCCTCTCCTTATCCTGCCTCCTCATCTTCTCTCAATCCCTTCCTCCCTCCCCTTCCTCCTCCTCCTCCTCCTCCTCCTCCTCCTCCTCCTCCTCCTCCTTAGCCTCCCTCCTGGGTATTCTCCAGACCCCCATGGAATCAGCTCACGATGGCTCGGGGGGAGGCCTTCAGGCTGGCCAAGCACGCCCCTCCTCCAGATCGCGCGTGTGCTAACACCCCGACCTACAGCTGAGAGAGCTTTGCCGCACAACGATTCAGATAATCACAAGCAAAGTTGTCTCCCTCTGCTCTGCCGGCAGTTTCACTGTCCAGAGGTGTGTATTGGGGCTGTCCACTTGGCCCGAAGAGAAAACTGAAAGGGCTCAGCACCCAGTGCGAACAAAAAGTGGCGTGGGTGTGGCCAACAGGGAGGCAGCTCGGGCGTCGCCAACAGGGAGGCAAATGCCAGGAGTGTTGCTCGAGCAACAACCTCCCAAAGGGGCTCGCCACCCCGCGCACGGCCAAAGGGGGTGTTCGGGCAGACCCCCTGACTCGCAAGCCACCCCCCAAATTAGGCTGCAGCGCCCCCTGGCGTGCCATCCACCCCACTCCACTCCACATCCCTGCTGGCCACCTGTCCTCCCGTACCCCTCCCTCTCCGCCTGCCCCACCTTCCCTCGTCCCTCGTCCGTCCGCCTCCTCTGGACCCCCTTCCCCCCCCTGCCCTCAGGATAGTACCGTGGTCAGAGAATGCCCAAGATCCAAGGAGACCTCACTCGGCACCGCGTTCCTGTCCACCCCTCCTCTTTCCCGGTGGCGCCGCGGTGCCAGGCGCCCGAGGGGGGGCGAAGGCGTCTGATGCCGCGGCGCCATGGGCGAGTCCCTCGTGGCACCGCGGCGTCAGACGCCTGAGCTCCAAGCAACTCTCACTCTCCGTCAGACGCCTGAGCTCCAAGCAATTCTCACTCTGCTGGGGTGATTCCAGGCCCACTAGAACTTGCAATCCCATCTCGAGGGATGTCTCAAATCTGGCAGTGGGAGCCCTGTATTCACATATTCCCTGTGGACTAGACTCACCACGGCCACTGGCATGCACAAAGGGTAAAGATTCTCTCCCCCACACTGTTTGACACGGTTAAGGTCCCCTTTGAGCCGATATCGCTCTTGGCAATCCTTCTACATCCTCCAACCTTCTCATTCTCCTCCTCCTGCTGCTCCTCCTCCACCTCTGTTTTTCTCTCCCTACCTCCCGAACCCGTCCTGCTCCTCAATTTCCTCCTCTTCCGCTTCCTTCTCCCCCTCCATCTGCTTATCCGTTCTCCTCCTCCTCCTCCACCTCCACCCCCACCATCCTTCTCCAAATCCTCCTTCTCCTCATTCCCCTCCTCCTCCTCCTCCCCCCCAGCCTCCCCCTTCTCATCCCTCCCCCCGTTCCGCCACAGTTCCTTCTCCAGTCCTCATGCTCCTCCTTCCTCCACCGTCATCCTCCATCATAGTCCATGGTTCGCCTTCCTTCGCCAATTCCTCCAACTCCCACTTTCCCTCCTCCAAATCCTTCTCCTCCTCGTCCTCCTCCTCCTCCTCCTCCTCGTCCCACTCGTGGTCCTCATCAACATCTTCCCCATCCCGCTCGGTCCAGCCTCCCACTCGAATTCCTCCCTCCCTCCCTCCCTTCCTGACTCATCCTCCTCCCTCATGTCCCGTAGCCCTCCTCCTACCCCCGCATCATCATTATCAATATCCCTGCTCAATCCACCCATCCTCGGCCATCCGTCCTCCTAAGAAACAGCCCCTCCCCGTCACACCGTCAGACGTGTCGTTGCGACGGCCATGGCGTTTGGCGTGAGACTTCCTCGCACGCCATGACCTAGAGCATGGAGCACCTACACTCACATGGACGCAGCCCAGGTGGTTGTCAAACTGTGGTTATCGCCATGGCGCTGCGCACTCTTATCTGACACACGCCCAATCAGTTGCATGATGGAGGGCGAAGGGCGGCTCGTGTTCAACATGTAGCTCTTGCCTGGGCACCCCGCACAATCGCCTGCAAATGAACATCTGTTTGCACAGAGCGGCGATCGTGTTTTTGTTAGAGTGGTGCTCCTGCTTATGACTGCCTCACCTCTTACCTGGCGGAGACCACACATGTGCAAGATATGTTATCGTGGAGGCAACTTCTCTTTTCAAATGGTGCTCCCGTGTTGAGCATGCATCCAGTATTGCGACAAGAACATCAGAGCTATGAAGCGCATCCAAGGGTGGAGGGCATACCGCTTTCAAAGTAGAACTCACAATGCACACTTCCTTGGACGTTAGGGCCCGACCTCTTTGCAGCTCTTACAGCCTGACGGATGGAAGGTTGACCCTTTGCACAACGGCGTGTCGCCTGAATTGCAGGACAACGATCCATTCG